TCCCTAGAAACACCTACGAGCTCGGGCGGTAGACATGTTATCATATGGGCCTGTCATCAAATTTATCTCTTATTGATATGCATGGGGTATAACTGACCATTCCATCCGTATTAAGTATTTCACATAAACGTATTTCATGAAGATGCCAGATTTCTTGTTCTCATTGCAAACCTGAAAGAATACTTTTTTGTTCATATGCAGGTTTTGAATCACTGCGTTGACAATACCTTTGAAGGCAATTCTGTCATTCAGTTTTCGACAGGTGAATTTTCGCTGCCGCACTGAGAATTATTGGAATCGTTTAAACGGCGTTTCCAGAGAATATTTTGATGTTAAACACTGCATTTTCTCTCCTGTTTTAACTCAGAAGATTGTCACGCGAACAATTTCGTAGGAAAAGAATAATTTAGCTCAGAATTCGACAAACCAGTAGAAGTGAATTTTAAGCAGCTTGGTGTTTGAAAAGTTAAGTGTCCAAAAACTCTTTCGAGAAAATTGCCTTGAGTCGCCTTGTTCTATTTGAATATGTGTCTGATTGCTGCTGGAAAGTAAAACAGGCTCCTCTCGGCCTCAAACGTTAATGAACCCATACAGATATGCTTTCAGGGCATAAAAGCGACTTTAAATTTGGCCAGCAGGTTTCCCGCGTAGAAATCGATTCTTCGCATCACATGATGATAGTTACCTGACCGCGGTTTTTTTTTTTTTTGCCAGCTTGTGCAACGAAAACAGAATGAAACTACTTTTTTCTCTAGCTTTCGCTTTTGCTTTCGCTTTCCAGTTTTAGGATTTTCATTACGACTGATATAAAGCTTCTGTAACTAAGACAGGCGGGCGCAGGGATATTATTTGAATTTGGATAGCGAGCAGAAAACTGAATTTTATATTGTTTACTTTCAAATGCAAATCAGCAGGATTGACCAAAAAAACCCCTCGCTTTCAACGCAACTAATTACGATTTTTTCATTTTCTTTTCAGTAGTTTTTTCTTAGCATGTATCTAAATAATTTCCTCTTTTTCCTCGTAGTTGCTCATTAACAATGCATTTTGACAAAGGCATCCCTTTAGGGCGGCCTGGGTGAACGAAGCTAAAACGAAAATTAATCGCTGTTTATGCCGGCTAGCGCAGTGTAGGCAAATATTGCTTTGAAACATTTTAAATACACAACTTTCTACAAAGATTAGCTAGGGATCGAGTAGGAAAAGATTACGTTTCTCTCCGAATTCAAGAGAATTTCCATTTGTAATTTCAGCTGCCATTTCTATGAGCAATCTGGTGGCTTCTCTTGGCGAGTGAGCCACAATGTATACAAATAAACGCCATTTTCTTTTTCCCTTCGCTAAATTTTNCGCTGTTTATGCCGGCTAGCGCAGTGTGGGCAAATATTGCTTTGAAACACTTTAAATACACAACTTTCTACAAAGATTAGCAAGGGATCGAGTAGGAAAAGATTGCGTTTCTCTCCGAATTCAAGAGAATTTTCATTTCTAATTTCAGCTGCCATTTCTACGAGCAATCTGGTGGCTTCTCTTGGCGAGTGAGTCACAATGTATACAAATAAACGCCATTTTCTTTTTCCCTTCGCTAAATTTTTGGTTCAAGAACTGAGGTTAAACCGCTTATTAGGAAGATTATGTGACGACAAATCCGACCGGCCGAAAAGGAAACGTTCTCTGGAACGTTCTTGTAGGCAATGAGATTTTTGAACTCAATCGTAAGAAATGATGAGACGGTAAAACAGCCTTACTAATCGCACAATCTCGAAAATTGCTTTCTTATTTCATTTGTAATAAACCACTGCTCAAACGACATCGGCTGGACATTTTAATGCAATCATATCTTGCTGTGTCTCTGCTAGAACTGAACTTACTGAATGCACAGCCGGCTTTCCTGAGCAAATTTGTGTAGATGTTATTAGTAATTATTTCCCCATCTTTTGTGTACATTGCGTTTGTGCGTATATTTGAACAAAATCTTGTGTCATAGCTGGGAAATGGGGCTATGATCTAATTACCACCACCACAAAGAAATCGTACTCAAAATCAAACTGGATGACTTAATTTTATCAAAGTTAGTTTAAAAATCTTCAGTTTTGTTGGCAAGCATGACGTTAATTATTTCTTGTATAACAGTGTTCCCATCTTGATTGTCGACTCTACACTTTACAACTTCTAAGTTGTCTGTACAAATACCAGTGATCTAAGGCTGCATCTCATTAGCTGAGTGTGCTATTGTGGGCCATAGTTTTGTTTGCTTCGTGTTATGAGATGGTCACGTGTGAGCAAATAAAACCAAAATGAAAAGTGATAATAGATTTAGAACTTCTAGAAAATTCGTTCTGAAAGAAGAGGAAAAGCATGGATTATCAAGAAAAATGATCTTTAAGGCTTAAAATAGCTATTAGATAATTTCTACAATGGCCTCTATTTGAAGAAAAAAAATTAAAAAATAAATAAACGTCAACATAATCCACACACACAAACATACTTTGATCTTTCTTTTTTCTCTAATTCGTAGTAAAACTTTGGATAGACTGAGATCTTTATTTACTTTTAAAGCTGGCTTTTTTTTTATGACACTAGGCACGTCTATGAAACCCGTTACCTTTACAACCATGAAAAGCTAATGTCATGAAGTGTGGCAATTGGTATTAAACAGTGTATAACATCTTAAAATTAGGATGATAGTGTTTTGGCAAAGATGGCAAAGAATTGTGAAAGAGCCTAATACTTAGGCCAACGTCATGAGGAACTTAAAGAAAGTCTCAATAAAATTTGCTTTTTTAAAAAAAGATTGTATTTAAATCAAGAAACTTTAATTTGGAATATCGAGTGCATGTCTGTCGCTATTTGGCCATCCAATTGTCAGGCAAAATTTCAAGATCGCACGTCATTGCGCTTTCTGAAAGAATTGAAATGATCGGAGAGCACAAGGTTCTGGCTATGTCATATAAATACTCAGGGTTTATGTATATGGAGGGCCACATTACGGTCGAAACAGCCGTCCACGGCTGCAATTCTTGGCTTTCAGTTTGAGCTCTATCACGTGATGTCGTTGTCGCGATGCGTTTTATACGTAGTAATCAGCCTTGCTTCATTGTTATTCTGTTATGGAAGTCTGGTTGAGGTGCTGGGATCTCATGAATTGTCAGTTAAATGTTCCGCGATATTTCTTATCTATCAGTTAAAATGACAGCCCGGCTATTCCTTGGCTATCATAGACT